TAATGTTCGATTTCTGTTCCCGAAAAAAACCCATGTATAGCTACCTGTCGATCGTATTGGGAACCGAAATAGAACTTCGGCCAAATATTTTTGCTTAATTCATCGATAAATGATAACTGATAATATAGATTAACCAATAAATGATATAAAGAGCTCCTGCTTGCTTTATTTTTGCCAAAAAATTATTATTTATGGTGTTTTTTTAGATTTTTTCGGTCAGAATCCACCCACGTATGTGAACTAAAATCGAACTTTTGTTGAAAATTTTTGCTTAATTCATCACTAAATCACATCTATTATCAAAGATTATTCAATGAATGATCTAAATACGTTCTTGTTTGCTTTATTTTTGCCAAATTATCAAATTTTATTGCATTTTTTTCGTTGTTTTCGGTAGTAGTTATCCAGTAAACATCTGTAATATGGTTGAAACCTGTAAACTAGATGTAATAATATGTGACTATCGGCCGTGAGATGTCGCCTTAGTTACGTGAAATACAAGGGACGTTCTACAATTCTTTAGCTGAAATACAAGGGATAACCGCAAAGTACAGTAACTATTGAATTATTTTTAAGTACAGAATCAAAATATTATAAAAACTATTAACATACTTACCTAAATTTTGTTATCAGTAGTACTTTTTGCCCAGAAACTTAATTATAAATCCTGAAATAACTTATAGGAGAGGCTTTTATTCTCGTATTAGCTTTTAAAATATTTTCTACCGTTTATAATGTAAATTAACGTTATGGGCCCGAAAATAACATATAGATAAGAAACTTTTGATGCGACTAGATGTGGTCGCAGTTTGAATAGTTAAAAAATTGTAAAATGTTAGTTGAACGATGTAATCTATGTATACAAACAATTTTATTGCTAACATCGAACATACATTGTTGTGTATTATAATTAAGTACAATTGTCTTATAATAAAAACATTTTTGCAATTCGAACGATACAATCAATCGAATTCTGATCAATAAATACAAAACGAAGCATAATACAGAAAGTCGGAATATTATTAGTAGTTGTACTACATGATGGGTACTTATCTATATTATAAATATATGTATATTACATATTACCGTTTTAAACCGCTACTTATTAGAAAAAAGAAAATCAATTTTTTAAGTATGCAGTCGTATTTACACCAACAAGATAATAATAATAATTATGTTACTTATTTGGACAGAATTTGCACTTATATTACAATGCTGGAGGGAATAATCCTTAATTGCAATAAATTAATTTAAAAATACGCTTTTCTGGAATGTTATCATAAATTTAAGAATACCTTTCACTCCCATCAAATACACACCTTAAACTCACTTACCATTCATCTCATTTTAAATTTTTTTGTATATGCAAAAAATAAGTACAGGCAAGGTAATCAATTACTTTTTAAGTACCTACATAACATTTTTTTCTTTTTCTGTTTCGCTACGTTCCCTACATTTCCTCCCCTACTCTTAGACTTATTACAATTATTAAGGACTTAATTACTGTTACTTATCGTTAAGTGCCATAATTATTTATTGTATGTATGCACTTATTACCCTAGATTTTTTTTTTTTTAAGCGCACATAATTATAACACAACAGCATCAATAACATTTTGCACAAGCCATTTTCTGATTGACTCTGATTTCATCTGTTTTGTATAATAATTAAATAATAATAAATTGTATCATTGCTATCGATCGCCCATTTCGTTTGTCTGTTTCGTACAAACAACAGTTTTTGTACAGAATAATAACATTCATATTGTAATGCATGGCTTTTAAGCGTAAGACAGCTATATAATATATATATGCGGTATGAGGGTGTATATAGTCTATACAAAATACTTATTTCGTCATAATAATTATTACAATCAATAACAACCGTTTTTGTATTTAATAGAAGCTGCCATCCATTCGTACCTTATCCTCACAGTAAATACGATAACTACATAAATAAAAACGTACACCGTACAGAGCAGAAGTAATAAAACTACAAACTTTTCAACACTTTCGAATCGATTGCTTAACTAATATTAAGTACATGCTATCGAATAATTAATTAATTCTTTCACACGATTTCTTGCATTCTGTAAAGCGCGTTAAATATTGCACGTCGTCAGCATCGAAGGGACGATATATTATAATAAAATACCATTGTATAATGGTACACAAAAGAAGTGAAGTACTATAATGCGATCAATTTAAAATCAATAACGCTGTTGAAATTCGTGATGCCACCTGTTGAAGTCTATATGGAATACCACTATGGATCCTAGAGCTAACCCTGCCAATAGAAACCTAAAACAAAAAAGATAACAATAATAATCCTTAGTCTTATTAAAGACAATTGGTTTGTTTTACAAATTTATTTGAAATTTTCCTACTATATGAATAGGGCATTCACGCTCAGTATTATCTGAAGAGGGTTCGCTATTCGTGGTCTTGAATTGGTTGTCCTCCTTTGTGTACCTGACGTTTCGTCAGTAAATAATTTTAAAGATTTTCTGAGGATAGTAACTTTGGATAAACGATTCCATCAATGGAGGAGAACCAGTGCTGAACCGAAACCGAATATAGAGCTCTCTTCATAATAATAAATTTTTGCAATGATAAGTTTATTTTTTATCAAAGGTGTACAATTTCGAAAATTGTAAACTTACTTTTGATCATGTGACAAAGCCAAAGACCTAATGCTACTATCACATGCTGGAAAGGCGTAAAGTAAAGCCAAATTAAAAGTTCTCCACACTTCGACAATGCCTTTGTCTCCACCGGTCATTAGATATTCTCCGTCCCGGCTCAATAATAGGCACTACAAATTTATATAAAAAGTAATTTCCAGGAAATTGTTATAACTTTAATGGATTACCTGTAAGTTATCGTTGTGGGATTCGTGTCGAAGCCTTTTCCCATTAATAGTGAAGGCGGCTACGTTTCCTCGTTCGTAATTAACCACTATCACCCCTTCTCGGGACATGGCAATATTTTCCGGAGAAGAAAATCCAGACGGAGGATCAAGAGATCTTAGAAGGTCGCCAAATGTTGTATGAACGAGTACTGGACCATCTACAAAACGAAACCTTAGCAATCAATAAAATAAAATTAAAAGCACATAAATACCATGTGATCCTGAAACAACCAGTCCTAGTTCCGCTGATATAACCACGCTTGAAACAGGCTGCTCGTGACCGGTAAGAGTGGCTCTTGGGGTAGGAATTTCACCCTCGCCCACAATAGTTTGCGTTCTGGCGTTCCAGTGCCATAAGAGAACTGTACAATCAGCGGAACCAGATGCAATGTAACAATCTGATGTAATATTACATTCGGACCTTGACAGACATGTGACAACGCCATAGTGACCGAAAATTATCTGAACAATTTTGGCGGTTTCAGTGGAAAATACGCGAAAACTGTTATCCCAGAAACCGCAGGCTAACAAGAATCGACTATCTACAGTAGTTACAAAACAGTTGGATCGAATTTTTACATTTTGACTGAAATTGTCTCCTAAATGGCGTTTTAACGTAGGATTACCTGTGTTGTTAGTTTGAGCTGCAACAAATTGAAATAAAGTAGGATACAATAATAATAATCCTTAAATAAAATGGAAGTGGAATAAAACTAAAATAAAAATATTACTAAATGTGAGCAAGGTGAAAATAAAGATCGAGTTAGTATAAAAATTAGAGGAAAACGTATTAGATGCAGAAACAGGAGAAAAAAGGGCGTACTGTTAGGATGTGGGATGTTCCTAGTTTTCGGGAAATATGAAGATTGACTTAGGATACAGTGAAGATGGTTGTTCAACTAGTCTTTGGACTGACTTCCCTACGATGATGATTAGAGGGTAGAAATGAATATACTGCGAAATATGATTATAATTTGCTTACATAGTACAGGGTCCATTGAGAGAGGCAGATTGGAGGCTTGATTCTGAGGTGTATCAAAATTAACCGGCGATTGAGCGACAGCAGCGTAATTAGAGTTCCATCTGTTAACGGCGAATTGCTGGTGCATGGTGACCGTTACCACTGACGGCAATGGCAGTTGCGGGTAGGTGTTGGCAGAAATATGAACGACTGGCGAATTCGAAAGGAATTTCATCGACATACAAATGTCGTCTGGTATACTTGAAAACATCATGGGAGACTGAAAAATAATAACATATTAAAACGAAAATACACAGGATAAAACTTCATTTTTTTTTTACCAAATGCATAGCAGAACTTCGAGGAGGATGCGGTTCCATAAGCAATTGAGAAGGAGTTTGTCCAAAATTCTTGATTTGGTTCTCAATGGCTTCTTTCATAACATTATCAGTAACTGATTCCATGTCAACACTTCCCTCGTAGGTAAGGTAGTAAAATACATTAGTTGCACGTATCGCTTCAGGACCTCGTTGTTTATAACCGAATATTAAATCGATCCATTGGTGAAGTTGACAAGATACGAATTCGGATTCCAGTGCCTTTTAAAATGAACAAATTTTAGTTTAGCCACTTAATATGCATATAACATTTGTGATACATTACCATTCGATTAATTCGGACAAACTCTTCCGGAGAACTAGCCCACGGGGGTAGTTCTACATCGTTCACCGACGTTCCATCTTCTTGGACACCCAGACGATATCGATTGAAATTAACGAACATTTCAGGCAAGAAAAAGAACTCGGGAATAAGTTCTTTAACATCGGATGTGTCCCTTTGGCAATTTTTCCACGAAACGGCCATTGAAGAGAAAAGACGATTCGGATGGTCGAACTTACCCCCTTGCAGTGCTAAGAACATACTTGTCCATGGCTCCTTAAAAAAGAAAGAGAAATAGAACGAATGACTAAATGTATAACTAAAAAAGTACTTACAACGCGAATAAGCCAATTTAGTACGAACGCAGCGGTAGAGTAATGGGTGCCGTAATGGAAAGGGGGGATGCTTTCATGTTCCCAACTGGAGTATCTGTCTTCGAAATAGGCTCTCCTGCTAGGATTCAAAGCTCCAATGGGTTTCGACAAATCTCTGTAGTTACTCGGCTGACTTAAATCTAATTCTTTGCTTTCGTAGTTGGTCAGTACCCAAGGAAATACCGGATACTGGTTGAGATCGTTATATGTTCGACCTGAATGAATGGTAAGATTTATGGTTGACGAATATATGACAGTTAAAAGTTAATACATCATAAGCACGGTGAAATGTTTAAAATAATTATTAAAACTTTACATAATTTCCAAATTAAAATTTTTTAGACATTACTGCTTTAATTACTGTGAAATGAATTTTTAAAACAGTATTTTAGAAAAACATGACAGGTGAAATACGTTAGAAACTCTAACTATTATGGAATTGAAACAACAAAAAAAAAAACAATAAATCCCAACATTCCACAAAAACATTTAGCAATCTGAAATGCGTTTCGACACTCAACAACTCATTCTCAGTTAGAAACTGTGATTTCCAAATGAGAAAGTATTATATCTTTTAGATTCTTCTCAAATATATCAAATCCTATGACATTGTTAGTTATTTAATACTGGATTAATATGCAATATTAATTTGAAATCATTTTTCCGATTTTTTATTTACCCACTACAAACTACCTCAAATTAATGAGGGAAAAATTGTTTCTGTTGTCATACCCCCGCCGGGAATCGAACCCGGGACCTTTGGCTTTACGCACCAATGTTCTGACCACTAAACTACGAGAGGTGACAACAACAACCACGACCAACCGACCTACAAGGTTAACGATCCGTCGAACTAATGTAACTATATACTGAATATACTATGATTAAACATACATATAATTTAGATATCTTTTAGAAGTGAGTTAGTTTAATATGAAATATTATTCTGAAAATTCATTTCTGAATTTTTTACCCACTACACGCTACCTCAAATTAATGAGGGAAAAATTGTTGCTGTTGTCACACCCCCG